GAAAGAATCATCACATTTGGAAGAAGCTCGCCAAAGTGGAGATTGTTGAAAATGGCTCCTCTTTTAGCATCATAAAATTTTAAATGGAGATCATCATAAAATTCTAAGTGAAGACTATCTCAAAATCCTAAATGATCAATACTTACAATAAAGTTCTAAATAAAGCCAACTACAAAAATCTATAGTACATATTATCTAAGTTTTCAGTAATGGTTAATCATCAATGTTAGGAGATCAATTATTTCTTATATTAACACATGTAATCCTTACCTATAAATCATCACACAAATAACCATTCAAGTTTATAATTGCTTCTACATATCCATGAGAATCCAGAGATAAGTGGAGTAAACTTTCTTTCTTCAAATTTATAATGATTGCTGACTCCGATGAATTAATGTATATAAATTGTGAAACTATATTAAACTCTTACATTCTTGTGTGTAAGTTATTTTCTCTCATTACAATTTGAAACTTCTTCATAATACTCGGCCTCTAGCAATTACTTAGATTATTTTTGACTATGAAGTAGATTAATTTAACGTACATGCATCTTTGAAAAAATAAGTAGAAGATTAATGATAAGTTTTACCTCTACATATATCATCCTAAGCAAGGGCGGATGCACTATGGGGGCATGGGCCCCATTGAAATTTCAATAATTAAGTCTATAAATTATTTCTTAATCAGTATTTAATGGAAAAAATATATTTATTTTGTTGCCTTTCAAGAGACTCTTCCCATAATTGTATTTGTTTCCCTTCCCAATATTCTTTTCCCGCATCTAGCCAGTAACGATGAGACGTCGACGAGCGGCGACCATTCATGCCTAAAGAGTCACTCCGGCATCGGTGCGCCAACAAAAAAAGCCTTACGAGTCACAACCTATAAGTTCATTAAGATGTTCCTCGGCCAGGCTGACACCTCCAAATTTCCAATAACTTGCATCCAACTTCCTTGTTTCTGAACAAAAGCTTCCTCGTTTAAGTATCATTCCGCCTTCTTCTTTGTGCAGAAGCTATGGGTAGAGAAACTTTTATATTTTCTTGAGGCTTTTCCCATTTCTGGTTGTTGCACTTACATGTCTAAAGCTTTTGAGATAAATTGGAAGATCATTGAAGGACGACCGGCAATAGCAATGGGCTATTTTTTGCAGTTCATCGTTGCCAGTGGCTGCAAGGCAGCGATCGATTTCGCAGGCGGCGGGAGGCCTTAGATATTTCGAAATTCTTTTAAAATGTTTTTCAGACTTGCAGCCATCTTGAGAATTTTTTTAGGGAGAGAGAAATATAGAATTTTTTTTATTGAAGTAAATAAATCCAAGAGAATGAAATATTCTGTTTTGAATAAAATAATTCATCTTGTTGTTTTAGTACTCTGTCTTGATCAAAAGTTTTATTTGGAACTGAAAAATTACTTAAGAACAAAAGTTTTGTTCGGAATATAATTTGAAAAATCACTCAAAAAAATACAAAAGCTTTTATACTACTATGTTAATGTTATTACTTTCTCATTAATTAAGGGATATTTTCAGAGCAAAGAATTTCAAGTGGTCATAAAGTTTACAATTATGTTACAGTTGTGAGGTGTTTTTTTAAGTTATTTATCATTTAATTTGTTTAAATTTTTTTTGTTATAAGCACAAAATTTATAACCTAAATTTTAATTCAAATTAGATATGGAAATATATTTCAAAAGAAAATTTGAAGAAACTGATCAAGATATTATATGTGAGGAAAATAATACACAAATTAAAAAAAGTTGTGTATAAACAAATTTTTCTAATATCCCTGTCGATCCTGCATTAAGAATAAACATTTTGGATTATCATCCTAATGAGAGAGATAGTATTTGGAGACATTACTTATTGAAAGGACCGTGTCAACTACATAATCATGAATTCTTGCGCATAATAAATGTAGATAAATTTCATAGATTTAATTATGCATGGTTTGATGAACATAAAGCTTGGTTAAAATATAGTATAATCAAAGATGTAGCTTATTATTTATTTTATTATATGTATAAACCTCAGATTGTAGAACAGACTAGCGGTGACAGTTTTGACATGAAGGATTTTAAAAATTAGAAAAAGAAGAAAAACTTTCATATTTACATTGGTAATATCAACAGTGTACATAATCTTGCTAGACATAAATGTGAAGATTTAATGAATCAAGAAAGAGATCTCATATTAGCTTTTGAAAGATCTTTTGATCAAACTCATAAAGATTATCGTATACGACTAAATGCAAGTGTTGAATGTGTATGTTTTTTTTAAACAAGGATTAGCATTCCGTGAACATGATGAGTCAAAGGATTTAGAGAATCAAAAAATTTTCTTGAACTTTTACGCTTTTTTGCTATCCATAATATAGATATAAATAAAGTTATTTTAAATAACTATCTTTGAAATAATAAACTAATAGCTCCAGAAATCCAGAAAGAAATCACAGAAGCTACGTGAATTGAGGTTTGAAATATTATTATGGAATAATTAAAAAATGATGTATTTGCGATTTTACTGGATGTATCACATGATATATCAGTTAAAGAACAAGTTATTATTGTGTTACATTATGTTGATACATGAGGGTGTGTAATTGAGCAATTTATTGGGATTGTTCATGTTGGGGACACATCATCTTTGACACTAAATATGGCTATTGAATCACTATTTATGAAATATGGGTTAAGTGTGATACAACTGCGTGAATAATATTACGATGGAGCAAAGTAACATACGATGAGAGTTTAATGGGCTGAAAATATTAATCATGAAAGATAATTGTTCAGCTTATTATGCATTTTGTTTTGCACACCAACTTCAATTAGCATTAGTTGTAATTATAAAAAATCATGTCCAAGTTGCTTCATTCTTTAATATTGTGACTAGTTTGCTAAACATTATTGGTAGTTCATGCAAAAGAAGAGATATGCTAATAGGAAAATATTATGACAAAATTATTGAGCAAGTAGAATGTTGATGAGTTACAAAAGGTCGAGGTTTAAATTAAGAAATTGCTCTTCAAAGATTATGAGACACTCGAAGGGGTACCCATTATAATTCACTCATCAGTTTAATTCTTCTGTTTTGGTCTATAATAGATGTTCTTGAGATTGTAATACATGCCATATCTAATAGTGAGCAAAAACGCAAATCATATTCCCTATTTGAATCAATGCAAAGTTTTGAATTTGTTTTTAATTTGCATATGATGAAGACAATATTATGAGTTACAAATGAGTTATCACAAGTATTGCAAAGAAAATATCAAGATATTATAAATGTCATGTCTTTGGTAAAGTTTCTAAAGAAAAACTTCAAAATAGGATAAATGATGAGTGGGGCAATTTATTTAAAGAACTTGGATTATTTTGTTAGAAGAATAACAAAAATATTTTAAACATGATTGATACATTTGTGATACATGGAAGATCAAGACGTCGTACTGAAAGTATAATTAACAAATAGGCATCATTATCAAATAAAATTATTTTACACTTTCATAGATATATAACTTAAAGAGCTCAACAACATGTTTGATGAAATTAACATAGAATTACTTATGTGTGTGGCATGTTTGAATGCATGTCAATCAATCTCATCTTTTGATAAAAAAATGATTGAAACGCCTTGCAAAATTTTATCCGTCAGATTTTTTAGAAATGGATCTCATCATATTAGACAATCAAATTGAAAATTTTATTGTTGATGTGACATCGAATGATGCATTTATGAGTTTAAAAGAACTTGGCGAACTTGCTCAAAAAATAGTGAAGACTAAGAAGAATGATATTTATCCTCTCATGTTCTTACTTATAAAGCTTGCTTTAATATTGTCAACTGCTACAAAAACAGTTGAACGAGCCATTTATACAATGAACATTATAAAGAATTGTTTACACAATCATATGAGAGACTCTTTAATGAATGAATGTTTACTTACTTATATTGAAAATTGTTGCGTCCTGGAGTATTCGCGGCGGTAGAGAAATATATTTAATGTCTTAGCATTTTACGAAGATCCAGCACACAATCAGATAAGTGAGAGGGTGTAGCATTCATAAGAGACACCAGAGTTTTTTACGTGGAAAACCCCTGAAAAGGAGGAAAAACCACGGGGCCTGGCCCAGTTTGAATGAATCCACTTAATAATATTGATAATGACTTGATTATACAACGATTTCAAAAAATGAATAATCAACGGGAGAAATTATAGATGTCAGATAAGAAGAATCTCAAGATTGATGTTCTCAATTGTAAGTTGTTGGTTTTATCATATATTTTATGTTTTTATAATGAATCTAATGATTAAAAATTTTTTAAAACAGTTACTATCGATCCCAAGCCTGAATGAAAAAGGTTGAGATTTTTTTTTTTTTATTACTTCAATAATTTGTGCCCCCACATAAAAAAAAAATCCTGACTCTGTCCCTGAGCCTAAGATAATAATCAATCAAAAATAAAGAATGGTTATGTTGTATATGTTAAAGAGAAATAAATGACAAACCATCTATCCAAATTCCAAAAACTATATGCTAATTTAAGTTTCATTTGAAATAAAATAATTTTTAATATAAATATTTTTTAAATTAAAAATTTTATATAAAAAATTACTTTAAAAAGCAGCTAGAAAACTGTCCCAAAAGAAACCTTAATTTATGATATCATTATAGAGTTCATTAGTAAATATGAAGGAAGAAGTCGGCCAATATACAGTATTAATTTATATTATCATCAGTATTAAAAAAACAGTACGAAAGAAAAAAAAAATTAAATAGGTGGCAGCAGAGTCTATCCTAAGCCCTGTCGGCAGCCAGCCAGCCCACACTGTCCCGGAAACCTGCCACCGCGACGCCACCCATTCCCGTAATCCCACACGCGTCGCCGCTTCACGCATCTTATCCACTCAGCCCCCATTACAAGCTAGCACGTGTCTTCGTGTCTCTCCCTCCACCTCCTCTCCCTCCTATAAATTCCCCTTCTTGATCTCTCCTTTCGGCATTACCAGCACAAGCAAAGAAAGAAACAGAGAGACAGAAGGTGATTAAGAAGTTTGCATTGAAGAAGATGGATCCGTTGGGTAACAAGGTGGGACACAACAACGAGTTCGGCACCGCCGGCCATGGTGACCACCACCACACCGGTGGCTACGGCGCCGAGCATGGCACCGGAGCACAGCAGCTTCATGGGCACGGAACCGCTGGCCATGTTGACCAACACCACACTGGTGGCTTCGGCGCCGAGCATGGCACCGGAGCACAGCAGCTTCATGGCCACGGCACCGCTGGCCATGTTGACCAACACCACACCGGTGGCCTCGGCGCCGAGCATGGGACCGGAGCCCAGCAGCATCATGTCGGTGGTGCTACGCCGGGGGTGCTGCGGCGGTCGGGAAGCTCGAGCAGTTCGAGCTCTTCGGAGGACGATGGACAGGGAGGGAGGAGGAAGAAGAACAAGGGGGTAAAGGACAAGATCAAGGAGAAGTTGCCGGGTGGTCATAAGGGTGATCAGAATCCGCAGCATCATTATGATCAGGGAGTGACCGCCGCTGCCGGAGGGCAGACGCCTGAGACTGAGAAGAAAGGAATACTGGAAAAGATCAAGGAGAAACTTCCTGGGAGCCACAGCAACTGATGGGACTGTGCAGATTTGGTGAATAATGGGTTGGTTTGCGGTGTTTACTAATAAAGATGGTTGGTGTGAGCGTGCTATTGTTTGCGGCCACGCTTCTATTTGTATTTCCTTCTTATTTTCTGCTTGTTTATTGTTGTATTTCATGATCATGATTATTATTGTCGTCTATGTTTTATAATAAAAAGGGTGTGTGATATCTTGTCTTTTAAATTCTAAGACTTATGTTTAGAATTCATGTTGGTTGATTTATAGACTTTTTGAAAAAAGAAAAAAACATTTGATTTCTTATTTTGCATAAAAAATATAAATTACACTATGAGATGTCAAATCCCTCTATAGAAAAATAGAAAGTTTAATATTCTAAAATTTCATAAGATTTAGCATTAAAAAGAGCAAGAATTTTAAAATTCTTGCGATCTACAATATACGTGGCAATAGAGTGAGGGATATTTCGTCTTAGCATCATATATATCAAGCACATTAAGAAAATATTATGAACGCTAGAAAAATACTAGAGATTTTTAAAATAGAAATCATGAAAAAGAGAAAATCATTGACCTAGTATTTGAATACATTACAAAAGTTTGATATATCCTTGGAGTCAAATTCGGTATAATTACAATACAAAAGAGAGTTCGACGACAGTCGGTGGCCAGGCGGAAATTAAGGGACATTTGGTGGTTGGGTAGAAGATCCGGGACGGTCAAGGCAATGATCAAGGAGGACCTTTGTAGCAAGAGAGATCTTAGATTTATCTTTCTTCTTCCTATCCACATTTCTTTGTGAAGAATGGGATGTCTATTTATAATTTTTTAATAGTGATATGACTATTAAATAAGAAGAAAATCAAGGACAAGTTAGGAGTGTTTCAAATGAACAGCTGATATCTACTCCCTTGATCATGGACCATTTATCGTTGGATTCGTCTCGTCAAGTTGTGCCATTCGATTATAAACAAACATAGCATTTGATCATCCAATTTATGCTTTGAAACTTCTGAATGAGTTTTGGGCATTTGATTTGGACCGCTGAGCTTGGATTGAATCGAATTGGTTACCGTTAGGTTCGTCTTTTCAATATGTTTATTTCGACTAAGTTTTTTTAAATCAGAGTTCTGATCCCGGAATTAATTTTGGGGCCGCATCTAATTGCTTGAGAAAATTTTCATACTGATCTAAAACCTTTTGAGAAGATTCACTTAGCAAATGACTTTGCTACATTGCAGCAGCTACTGAACATGTAAGAGATATTAGCAGAGTATGCACTGAAACTTACCATCTGGCTTTTAATTAAGAATCAACTTGTTTGTGGAGTAAAGTAAAAGGACCATGGGTGGAAGACGAGTGACAGAGAAGGAAAAAATGCAGGTGGCAGTCGGAAGTCAAGCAGAGCATTATCCAAAGGAACGTCGGCAGCTCTGGAATCCTGCCCCCTTAAGCGCAAACGCGTCGCCACGTTTTGACTGCCAGCCAAAACAAAAAGAACACCCAGTTCATCCCATCCTTCCAGCCGGCAGAAGCTCCTCCGTGTCTACCCGTCACCGCCTCTGCCTCCGATAAAACATCCTCCCGATCTCCTCATTCGTCACACGCAGTTCAAGCACAATAAACGAAACAAAGAGACTAAAGCTAGCTCTTTTAAAAGAACGCTCGCATCAGTGGCGGAGATGAATCCGTTGGGCAACAAGAAGGTGGGATCCACGGACAAGCTCGGCAACCCCATCCATGGCCACGGCACCACCGGCTATGCTGATCACCACCACACCGGTGGCTATGGCGAACAGGGCACCGGAGGCCTGCAGCTCCATGGCCACTGCACCGCCGGACATGTTGACCAGCACCATACCGGAATTCTTCTGATGTGGAATGTCTGAATTCCTTATGTATTTCTCTTAAAAAAGAGTAATTTGATGTTAATATGTTTGAATTTCTCTATAAAAACTGGATTATTACATACAGCGATTGCAACTTGAAGTCCACAAATGCTTCTATTTCATTCAGTTTTTTCTCTTTTCTCTTTCAGTTGACTGTCCACAAATATAGCAATTGCCACTTAAATTAGTTGGCCTCATCAGTTACTTCATGAGTTTGCCATTCCTGCTCCTAATAGGCCAACACAATTGTTTTGTGACAATCAAGGCTAATATCATTGGTGTTCATGCTTCACTAGATCAAATTGCGGATATTTTTACCGAGGCACTTTCAATTTCTCAGTTTCAATTACTTCCAATCAAACAGATTATTCAAATGGATTTAATAGTTGTTTAACTGTCCCTAATTTGGACACTAAGGTTTCGTTTGGGACGACTTTCTAGCTGCTTCTTAAAACGCTTTTTACTACAAAAAGTTAAAATTTTTGTATTCGAGAGCTGCTTTAAGAAGCAGTAAGAAAGCCGCCCCAACTGAAGCCTACGCTCTGAACAAACAAGCTTTTGAACGATTTCAACTTTAGTGCTATACTGAAAGAAATTAACCTCCATCATATTCATATAATCTTATGCTGATAGCAGAGAAGATTATAATGTGATGGGAGAAGATAGATTTTGAGAGAAGCAAGATTATCAATGTGATTAGAGTAGTTGGACTCATGGACTGTGAGGGTTGGGGCAACTTGAACATGATCTTATCTTTGGAGATGCAGGGACAAAAAATTTTCATCAATTTATGAAGGACAGATATCAGGTTACCTAATAGTAATTTTAAGATGAACTAAGATTCTGTAACCCCTTATAGGTTATTTAACAGGTAAATTTACAATAGTTTACCTATTGATGGGTGGGCAAAATAATAATTCTTATAGTTCACATATTGATGATCATACAATATGATTCAGATAGATCAAAAGAAAGGAGAGTACGAAAGTTTTGGTGGGCGTTATGGTATCATTTTTCACATGCTCAAAACATAAAATATTTTTTTACTCAGGCTTCATTTGGGATGACTTTTTTATTGCTCTGTAAAGCTATTTTTTAGTTAAAGAATCTCTTAAAGCAGGAAAAAAGTGGTCTTATTGCTTTTCAAAAGAATTTTTTAGAAAATTATGTTTTAAAAAGCTGCTCTAAAATGCAGAAAGAAGATTGTCCCAAACGAAACCTGAGTCAAGGCGAAGTGTATTTAATTTGTTAGTTATAGATTAAAAGTTATAAATAACCTATAAAGAAAATGGTATGTACATACATCAAAACATTTATCTTATAATATATATTACATAAATGCATATATATATATATATAAAGTAATAAGCATGCAAATGATAAGTACAGTGCATATCTATCATAAAATATTACTTCATTTATATAGATAAATGCTTTTCTAATATATTATAAAAAATTATGGTAAGCCGATAAATGTTTCAAAGCTGCTCCGTGAATTTTGATTTGGGTTTGAATGAATAAACGGTATATTCTTTATGCTTAATAAATAAATATAAGTTTAAGGTTTTGTTTGGGATAAACTTTTTTTTTTTTTTTTCATATGGGCTACCGCAATCATTATTTTTGTTTAGCTAATGTTTTCTTTTACTTTTTCAATGCTTCCAATAAATTTGTGTGTTAGAAAGCTACTTTCTATAACAACTTTCACAAAAGCTGCTTTCTCCAAGTATAACAACTTTACAACCACCGATATAAAAAACTATAACTATCACAAATGGGGTAATTTATTACATCCGGTCACCGGACGCGCAAAATAGGTTCGGACATCCAATAAAAACATGTCACGTCACCTACGTTTTTACTGTGCTTTTGACTGCACTTTAACTGCGATTTAGGTGCGTTTTGACTGTGCTTTAGGTGTGCTTTGACTGTGCTTTACCTGCGCTTTTGACGAGCTTAATTTAAAATAATATTTTATTAATATCCGGACATATCTCCATATTCGGTGACCAGATGTAATAATTTGCCCACAAATGGACCCTAAATTATATTTCTCATGATGAAGTAGTTTTATTCAAATAGAGTATTTATATAAATTTACATAAATCATAAATTCATTTTTACTCCTAAAGAAATAATTTGAAGTACATATACAAGGAAAGTAGATTACAAATTTAAAACAAAAATCTCTTTATAAGACTTAGGCTTTGTTTGGGACGACTCTCTTATTATTTTGTAAAGCTATTTTTTAGTATAAAAATATCTTAATAGCTGGGAAAATGCAATGGTCTAAAGCTGTCCCAAACAAAATCTTAGGATTCGATTGGGATGGCTGCAACTTTTTGTAAATATAGATATAAAGTATGTGTACATAAAGTATCTTTCGAAAAATTACTGTCGAAGTAGCTTCCTAATATATAGATTTTTTGAAAGCTGCTAAAATAATAGCCAAATAGAAACAATAATTGACGTCTGAAAAGCAAAGCAATAAAAAGCTATCACAAATGAACTCTTATTCAAACTTGGTTTAGTGCAACTTTTGGTCACTATTTTTTGATGCATTTAAAATATTTTTATGCTAGAAAGCTGCCGCATAAAATAGGGGCGGATCCAGCTTCTTTTTTCAGGGTGGGCAAAAAAAATTTTTTTGTGAGGGATGGACAAAGATGCTTAGTATTTATAAAATGAGGGCAAAAAATTTTTTTAAGAGGGGGCAAAATACTCAAAATATTCCAAACAATCCCTCTAAAAAAAAAAAAATTCTCCTCAAGTCAATGGGGGTCCGCCCATGGCAGAAAATATAATGAAAATTGTCTGTAATGACGGCTTCATTTGGGATGTCTTTCTTACTGCTTTTTCAAACAGCTTTCTAGTAAAAAAATTAATATTTGTACTAAAATAATGTTTCAATAAGAAGTAAGAAAGCCGTCCCAAATGAAACAGAAGCCTCTATATCCTCAACATGATTTGCTAGAGAGAGAGAAAACAATTGGCTCATTAAACGAGCGTTTGGGCCTAATCTTTTTTTTTTTTTTTAATACAAATTTCTCTCCTAATTCCGATTCATATAATATTTTGTCTTCTACACTTTTCCACAGGCATGCATGCAAACTAAAATGGCAAAAAAGTCTACTTTTTTGCAACAAAGAATTCATTCGGCTGCACGTTTGATCACGTTCAGCATTTCTTCTGCGTCCGAAAAATGGTAGATCTGTATTCAACCATCGTATAGACTTAATGGTCAATAGTTAGCTGTACATTGTGCTTTTTCTCAAAGCAGCCATCAACTTCAGATTTGAAAGAGCAAGAAGAAATTCATTCCATTTTTTAGAGAGAG